CTTGGGTGTTATCAGTGATATGGAATTAAGCCAGGGCTGCAAGAGTCAATGGAATATGCATAGTCTCCCTGACTCATCCTAATTCAATTAGAGGGGGACTGCGGGTTGAATTTGGTTCCTGAGAGGAGACTATAAGAGAAAAATGAGGCTTATCCATCCTGCCCTATATTAGTAAGTCTATTTATGTGCACATTATATAACAAATTGGGCTCCTACAAGAATATCATGTGAGTTTATTTAAAAAAAAAAAAAAGGGACGGGAAAAAATAGTCATGAAGTTGGGGGGCAGGGAATAGGGAATGAAAGTTCCTAAAATGATGTTTCAAGTAATATGAAGTTCTGTTTTCAACAACATACTCTTATTAATAAGAATGTACTGAAAGATAATAAAGAAAAACTCATACTATATTTATTTTAACTGGGGGAAAAGTCCTAATATCTAAGAAAATCATTTTTCTAATTATCTTTGGACAAATACTGTTGTGCTTGAAACATGGACTTATCTCACCATTTTTCTATCTCTATTTTTAAGTGTAAATAGAGGTACTTCCAAATAATGTGCATGCTATTTCTGCATCTTTGGACATTTATCATTTATATAAATATGAATTGAATAGATCATACTTAATATTCCAATCTAACAGTTCTTATCCACAAAAATATCATAGACACAAGAAACAGCAAGTTTTGTATGTTATATTTCACTTGAGACTGCATGACTTTAATCAAATTATTTAAGATTAAACATATATTTATTCTCTCTTTATCATCTTAAAACTACTTTTTCATTTTTTCCTGAGTGATTACTTGAGCCCTACCTGTGAGGGCGTAAACACTTGTCTATATATAACCTGAAGTCTTAAAAAACCAATAACGAAACTTGAAAATTCAATATTTTCTTTATTTATACAGTAATCATGATAAAATAGTGGTGCTGGAAAATGTCAGTTTATATTGTAATAACTGTTAGAGCTACAAATCTGACATCTATAATAGTTGTCAGTCATAAAAATACAGCAAATTGGGATAAATTTAGTTCCGTCATTCAAACAGAATGAAGCTGCTTGTCACCTGCTTTCCTTTGTGATTTGATTACCTTGGACTGGGTTTTCCTTAAAAAGAAAGAAAAGGGGGAAAGAAGGTATTCAAAGGAAAGAGCTAATAAATAGTGAAGCAAAAGAATTATTCAAAGAGCTTACTACACTTTGCCAGTTTGCACAGCCTTAAAAGGTGTTAATTTTCTTTTTGTGGTGTTAAAATTCTGCATTGTCATTTTCTAAGCAGTGATAATACAAATAACCCTTAGCATTTTTCACACAATTTTTCCCCCAGAAGTACAGTACAATAGTCTAGTCTTGTGTGAAATGGGGACAATAATACCTGCTGTGACATAAGAGCTCCTGTGATTGATTGATTAATGTCTTTTAGACACAATAAGACATCTGGATTAAAGGAACTTTAGAAGTAGAGGGCATAAAAGTTTTTATTTTTAACTTTGATTGGAATATAGAACTGGTATATCAGAGTTGAAAATATGAGCCATGAAATCTTTGAGGAGGTCATTTGATCATTGTAAATACCACTGTCTATGTCTTTTATATAAAATGTAACTTTAAAAAGCCTTTACAATCTTTGTGTGAAATGTAATTTTAAAATGCTGAGTGGTAACTAGAAAATCATAGATGAAAATCCAATTAACAAACTGACTACTTAATAATTTAGGTTATTAAATGCCATTACATGGAAATTATTGTTTAGGGTGCCCTAGCTTCACAAGTATCCCATGACCTATATAACCAGCAGAGAACATGAAGGCAATTTTACTATAGCCCAGAGGGCATAATTCCAAAATACTAATCAGGTACAACACAGGTGAGAATATCATAATTCCTTGCTGTAGCAAACATGCATTGACAAAGACAAATAAGGGTTAACTAAGGAGCTCTAAGTGGAAGACTCACATACGTATTGGAAGATCTCTATTGGAAGTCATATAATTGGAAATATATTATTAAATTCACTAAAAAAGGATTAAAATACAGAAAAAAATAGATGTTCCCCTACAAAAACTAAAATTAATGAATATCATTTCCCTAATTCATAATTATGCAGATGTAACTTTTTTAAAAAAAATAAGAGAGGCAGATTTTGAGCTGTTCTCATTATGCAAATGCTTTATATAGTGTTTTGGGCAGAAGCCTCAAGTTATGAGAGCAGAAGGTTAGGAATATGACCCTTTATATTTAATTTTCTTCCAAGAATATTAATAAGATCTCTAATAATAGTTCTCATTCTGGAAGTTAGCAGTTGGAATATAATAGGGCAAACCATAAGCTTCAATTGAAGAGCAAAACTGGTATGATTAGTTAAAGAATCCCAATAATTTAGATATGCCAAACAAATGCCTACAAGATAGAATGCCCCGAAGTCAGTAGCTCTATTTCTGTATTATATTCAATCTCCTTTGATAAGAATCTAGACGTACTTCATTTTGGGGCTTTGACCTTTGTTTTCTGTTAATTGAAGTCTCGTGGTCAAAAATTCAATCATGTGTGGATTCTTCTCTTCCCTCACCTTCATCTGTGTTCAAGCTAAGATTTCACTTACCAGCATAGGGTAATAATGGGCTCTGACTACAAGGAAAGCTATCCCTTAGCAAACAGAAACAATTCCACGTAGTAATAATGTTAAATAATTATTGCTAAGCTATGTGTTGTGACTACAACATGACTTTGAAATGACTGCAATATGATGAGAATAAGAATGTGAGAGACTGTGATGCTTATGAAACGAACTGGAAAGTGGTGGTGCTGCTATATTTATTGTAAATGTATCCGAACAATGGTTCATTTATGATTTTAAAGTAGTTCAGAGCGTAAAACAGATGACAATTGGAACAATGCACTAGCTTTAATTGTAAATTTTGTGAATGGCAAAAGGATCATTCGCTGTGGTTAGATAAAGGAATCTTCCTTTAATTCACTGGCATTATTGTATGAGGGAACTATTTTTCTTTTGACTTTTAGATACTTCAGCAGTCCTTTTTATTCTTAAATTTTGTATATTCTGATCACACAAAATACTACTATCATAAGAGTTGTTTGGCTATTTAAAAACAGTATCAACCTATTGCCTGCAAGAAACCTGTTTTTATACTTCACATATAAGGGATTAATGAATTTTAAAGTGGGCTTTTACTGTGAATACTCACCTGAAGAAAAGTTTGCATAAAAAGGAGCTTACATTTTCATAGATGTGGGGAAATTGTCATGTCAAATGAGTTGGTTAAATAATGGAATTATTTATACAATATTTAATTTGGTAGGTTTGCTTAGTGATTTTTTTTTTACTTAAATATCTAAAAGTAAGTATTCATATTGAAACTGAAAATCATTGTATTCAAAAACAAGACTTATCCCTGATCACACCATCATAGCGCATAACTAGGGGAAAAGCCTCGGATACATATACAACCCACTACAGAGCGGGGAATACGGAGATTTAAAATAAATGCCCTTTATCTCTGTAAGGTAGAACGAGTTACTCAATCATGAATTAAGACCTTCTCAGACCACCTTTATAGGTCATTCAAAAAATTAAATTTTTTGTTCCAAGTGAACTATTATTAATGCTTCAAACTTTACTCAGGTATCTGGCGTTGTAGGTACAACACATTGCACAAACCTTCGTGGTTTACTGATTTTAAAAGATCAATCAAATATAGATAGCACTTTCTGGGCCAATACTTAAGGAATAAGGTTAATCCTTTCGGGAGTCATTCCATCCGGCTCTTGTATGAAAATGAGGAACGTGTGTGCACACGCTACAGAACTGGAGTCCTAGAAATGAATTGCAAGGGGAAAGACAAGTATTACACGTAAAGTTGGAATCAGCAGAAAGTGCAAGGGGAAAGGAAATGTTCCGCAGCTTTGGGAGCAGCTGGAAGGGACTCCTTCCAGCCTTTAGCAAGAAAAGTTTGCAGTTAGGTGAGCTGGAAGCGGGTTTTGCCGCAGCCGCGTGTCCGGGCGAGCTCGGGTTCGCAGATTTCTGGGCGCGGCGGGAGCAGAAATTCAAGGACAGCCATGATCGGCCGCCGCAGCCCGTCCTGCTCCACCAGATGAGACTTCGCACCGCACAACCAGACCGGCCAGTGCTGACCAAGGCGATCCCAGAGGCTGCCACTTTCCCTTGCCCCCGGGCAGCTTCCGACACCCTGCATGTAGGGAGTGCTCAAATTAATTTTCTTTCCGGTCTCGACTGAGATTCAGATATTCTCTGCCCCGACCTTTAGCTATCCGCCCTCTCCGCCCTTCTCGCCAATGTCCCTGGCAGCAAAAGCCTGCAGTTGCAGCACCGGGCGTGTTGTCCGTTTAACGCGCTCCGGGAATCTGCTGGCCCGTGCTCCCCTCGGAGAAGCCACAATGCGCCTCGCGCCTCGGACCCTGGGATGACTCTCTGATCTTTGCATTTTGGCCCCTCCATTTAGCAAAGAGAAGCGCGCGAAACGTGCGCCCAGAGATGAGCCGCCTCGGCGTCCCCCATCCGCCCTCCGCCGCGCCCGAGGCTCCCTAGATCCGCGCCCGCACGCCTCGCTGGCCTCCCGCGCCGCCCCAGCTCGCCTGACTGCCGGGGCTCGGCAGTGCGCTGCCCCGCGCGGCCCCGAGCCGCCGGCCCCGCTCCCGCCTGCGAGAGACCGGTCCGCGCGGGCCCGGGGACAGCCGGCGCTTCCCTCCGGGCCGGACCCTGCTGAGCATGCTCAGTGCGCCTCCTGGAAGCCGGCTCTCCCGAGGCCAGGATCACTTCTCCGGGTTTTCACGGCAGCCGTGGGGGCGCTGAGGAGGGGAGGCTGGGAGACAGTCTGCGCCTTGTTCCGCGCCCCCTCCCTCGTGCCCGGCTGCGGCCGCCCGCACCGCAAGATGCGGGCCAATCAGGGGCCGGGGGCGGGGCCTATGCCGTCACGCCCTCCCTCTGGGCTTATTGAGAGTTATATCAAGAAATTCAGTTCAGAGAGAGGAAAGGAGAGGGAGAAGGAGAGAGGGGCAGAGGAGAAGAGAGAGAAGGAGAGCACGCAAGAGAGGAAGGAGCGCCTTAGAGTCTCTGAAGCACGCAAGAGATAACCAATTAGGAATTTTTTGGGCAACTGTCACCCAGGAGAGCAGCCAGAGAATCACCATCACCCCAACTCTGACGTTTCCTACAAGAAGTTAGAGACTTAAGCAGTATTAACATCGGAGGGAAATGATATGCTTGACGCTGTGGAAAATACCCCTGAACTGAAGAAGTGCAACTGGATGTTGTGTGTGTGTTAAATACCAGAAGATCCCAGACCCCGTGGGTAATAGAGACGAAATGTGGAGAGAATGACTAACGACAAATCTGTGAATTTGTTCTCTGGAGTTGCTAATTTGCCAGCCCGAAGCAACACATTTTACAAGGAGGAAACGTTTTGCTGCTTCTGATTTCTCCCCAAACTGGTGCTACCAGATGCATGGCTTTCTATGTGTTGGAACAAATCATTCCTAACTGCAGCATACCGGGAAAGGGGAAAGGTTGAGGCAACTAACGTAAGTGTAAAGTTTTGCATGCACAATTGTAAATTCTGTGTTTGGATATGTCCTCAGTGGAGACGAGGGATGTTTGTAATTGGGCAGACGGTTGGGGCAGAGCTCACCTACTCGGCTGTATCTGCATCCCTACCTGCATCACTCTGCCGGAACTAATCGCGGGCATCAGCTACCGTGCAGCCTAATGCAGATAAGATTAGAGCTTGGGAACTGACCAGTTCTACTCAAGTAGGAAGCTGCCTGGAGCCTTGCACCCATTTAAATTGCAGTTAGAGGAGCATCTAAGCAGAAACCTTTTTACCTGCATTATTGGTTTGCAGTATTTATGTGTGGGAGATGTTACTTATATTTTAACCAGAGATCAGGGTTAAGCAACTGCATTTTTTTTTTCTCTTTTATACTCAGTCGAAAATATTGTGCTGTTACATGGAAATGTTAGCTGCGTTTCATTTACGTCTTGACACTCTCTTCCACCTCTAGTATAAGGAATCATATATTATTCTACATTTTTAAAAGTTTTAAGGTATTTATTAATTCTAATGGGGATAATTTGACAATATGGAGAAGTGAGAGCAAGGTCTGGGGAAGAGATCTGAAGTCTTGGTATTGTGTTTTTAGGCGATGAGCATGTGTAGTGGCCGGTGACTATTGCCTCTGATGCTGCAGCAGCATTTCCGTGAGCTTGTTTCCCAGTAAGATTGTACTAGAAGGCAGTTGAAGGACTGGGAGGAAAGAAAAAGATAGTCTTTGTAGAAGAAAGAGATGACTCAGTGTGGCAGAGAAGAAAACACATCACATTTGACATGTGACAAAGCAATTAGCAAGAACCGTAGCTAAATACTTACTGTTTTTCACTTGCACCTAAAAAAACTGAGGGAGGTGGGTTAGAAGCCAGGAGGCGGGTAAGACGGGGGAGGGGAAGAGGAGAACAAGAATGCATGTTTCGAATTAAACAGTATCCTGAAAAACAGTGTGGGTGAAGACAGGTAAAAATAGCAGCTGTCCTTAATTCAAAAGTAGAGAATTTCATTTTCTCTGGGCAAATGCAACAAGCAGGGGATATTTAGTGTTCTTTATCCACAGAGTTAACTTGCAAACAGTAGCAGAGCAAACTGCCATGTTTACTAATATGCAGTGGAAAATGTGTTGTGATATTTTGTGACTGTGTGTTTTTGTTTACTGAAGAATAATATTGTCTATACGATTGTGTTGACAGTGGCTGTCTCCAAATAAGCGATGAGAGGTAATGCGTCCTCCAGTCCATGCACACTTCCTCTTGCAGTTCGTGCATCATTCCTCAGTGGAAACCTTTAAACGCTAAAATCCAGGAAAAGAAAATAAATACATTATCATGGACCTGAGGGATTTTTACCTGTTGGCTGCTCTGATTGCCTGTTTAAGGCTGGATTCCGCAATAGCTCAAGAACTTATTTACACTATTAGAGAGGAATTGCCTGAAAATGTGCCCATAGGAAACATACCAAAGGATCTGAACATTTCTCACATCAATGCTGCCACAGGGACCAGCGCCAGCCTTGTCTACAGACTGGTTTCTAAAGCTGGGGATGCCCCTTTGGTGAAAGTCTCCAGTAGCACTGGGGAAATTTTCACAACCTCCAATAGAATAGACAGAGAAAAACTCTGTGCTGGAGCCTCTTATGCTGAGGAGAATGAGTGTTTCTTTGAACTTGAGGTGGTGATCCTCCCCAATGATTTTTTCAGGCTGATCAAAATAAAAATAATTGTTAAGGATACCAATGATAATGCCCCCATGTTTCCATCTCCTGTCATCAATATTTCCATTCCAGAAAACACTTTGATCAACAGCCGCTTTCCAATTCCATCAGCTACAGATCCTGACACAGGCTTCAATGGTGTACAGCATTATGAATTGTTAAATGGGCAGAGTGTTTTTGGACTGGATATCGTGGAAACTCCGGAGGGAGAGAAGTGGCCGCAATTGATTGTTCAGCAAAACTTGGACAGAGAACAGAAAGATACCTATGTGATGAAAATCAAAGTAGAGGATGGAGGCACTCCACAGAAATCCAGCACAGCCATACTGCAGGTCACAGTAAGTGATGTAAATGACAACAGGCCAGTATTTAAAGAGGGTCAAGTGGAGGTGCATATTCCAGAGAATGCTCCTGTAGGCACCTCTGTAATTCAGCTCCATGCCACTGATGCAGATATAGGCAGTAATGCTGAAATCCGGTACATTTTTGGTGCCCAGGTCGCCCCTGCAACCAAAAGACTCTTTGCTTTAAATAATACTACTGGGCTGATTACAGTTCAGAGGTCCTTAGATCGAGAGGAGACAGCCATTCACAAAGTGACAGTGCTGGCTAGCGATGGCAGCTCCACTCCCGCTCGAGCAACGGTTACCATCAATGTCACTGATGTAAATGATAACCCTCCAAACATAGACCTCAGGTACATTATAAGTCCCATCAATGGCACAGTGTATTTATCTGAGAAAGATCCTGTCAATACAAAGATTGCCCTAATTACAGTTTCAGATAAGGACACGGATGTGAATGGCAAAGTGATCTGTTTTATTGAAAGAGAGGTCCCATTTCATTTGAAGGCTGTATACGACAACCAATACTTGTTAGAGACCTCTTCTTTGCTGGACTATGAGGGCACCAAAGAATTCAGCTTTAAAATTGTTGCCTCTGATTCTGGGAAGCCCAGTTTAAATCAGACTGCCCTGGTAAGGGTTAAGCTTGAGGACGAAAATGACAACCCACCAATTTTCAACCAGCCTGTAATTGAGCTGTCAGTTTCTGAAAACAACCGACGTGGGTTATACTTAACAACTATTAGTGCCACAGATGAAGACAGTGGGAAAAATGCAGACATTGTTTATCAGCTTGGACCGAATGCCTCCTTCTTTGATCTGGACCGAAAGACAGGAGTTTTGACAGCCTCCAGAGTCTTTGACAGAGAAGAACAAGAACGATTCATTTTTACAGTAACTGCCCGGGACAACGGGACACCTCCCCTCCAAAGCCAAGCAGCTGTGATAGTCACCGTTCTGGATGAGAATGACAATAGCCCCAAGTTTACTCATAATCATTTTCAATTTTTTGTGTCTGAGAATCTGCCAAAGTATAGTACTGTGGGGGTAATCACAGTGACAGATGCAGATGCTGGAGAGAATAAAGCGGTGACTCTTTCCATTCTAAACGACAATGATAATTTTGTGTTGGATCCCTATTCTGGAGTCATAAAGTCAAATGTCTCATTTGATAGAGAGCAGCAGAGTTCTTACACTTTTGATGTCAAAGCCACTGATGGAGGACAACCACCTCGTTCCTCTACTGCAAAAGTAACTATCAATGTCATGGACGTCAATGACAATAGCCCAGTTGTCATTTCTCCACCTTCTAACACTTCTTTTAAGTTGGTGCCCCTCTCAGCCATTCCTGGCTCCGTGGTAGCAGAAGTTTTTGCAGTGGATATTGACACTGGGATGAATGCTGAACTTAAGTACACAATTGTGAGTGGGAACAACAAAGGCTTGTTTAGGATTGATCCTGTCACAGGTAACATTACTCTGGAGGAAAAACCGGCACCTACTGATGTGGGCTTGCACCGTTTGGTGGTCAACATAAGTGACTTGGGATACCCTAAGTCTTTGCACACACTTGTGCTTGTTTTTCTTTATGTTAATGACACTGCTGGAAATGCCTCCTATATCTATGACTTGATTCGCAGGACTATGGAGACCCCATTGGACAGGAACATAGGGGATAGTAGCCAACCCTATCAAAATGAGGACTATCTCACCATCATGATCGCCATCGTCGCCGGCGCCATGGTGGTCATAGTCGTGATCTTCGTCACTGTTCTGGTGCGTTGTCGCCATGCATCAAGGTTCAAAGCAGCTCAGAGGAGCAAGCAAGGTGCTGAATGGATGTCCCCAAACCAAGAGAACAAACAAAACAAGAAAAAGAAAAGGAAGAAAAGAAAGTCTCCCAAGAGCTCTCTTTTGAACTTTGTTACAATTGAAGAGTCCAAACCCGATGATGCAGTTCACGAGCCTATCAATGGGACAATAAGCCTGCCAGCTGAGCTGGAGGAGCAAAGTATAGGAAGATTTGACTGGGGCCCGGCACCACCCACAACCTTCAAACCTAACAGCCCTGACCTGGCCAAGCACTACAAATCTGCTTCTCCACAGCCTGCTTTTCATCTTAAACCGGACACTCCAGTTTCCGTGAAAAAGCATCACGTGATTCAGGAACTCCCTTTGGACAACACCTTTGTCGGGGGTTGCGACACCCTTTCCAAACGCTCTTCCACTAGTTCAGATCACTTCAGTGCCTCAGAGTGCAGTTCCCAAGGAGGCTTCAAGACAAAGGGCCCCTTACACACCAGACAGGTAAACGAGCACTTTTACTGGTCTATAAGTACTGCATACAAGTGCCCAGTCAACCAGTATTAACGCGCCAGTGTGTCTATTGTTTTGGTCTAACTTTAGCTTAGTTATAAAGAGGGAAAAAAAACTTGACCCCTTTTTCTATTCCTCTGGGGCTCAGTCAAGAATTTTTAGAACAGCTTTGAAATTTCTGAGTTCTGAGAATTATTTAACCTCCCAGTTTCCTTCAAATGGCAAAAGATGAAAAGAGGAAATTATTCAAAAATGTCCCAAGATAATGTTTGCTGAAGAAGAAAACCTGTTCTGATATGCCAAATTCTGCTCCTGGGGTTTCCAAATTGACTGCTTCCAGATTTTCACATTACCTTTTGATCTCGAAAGTCACCTTCAAATCTCAAGTTTTAAGTGACGTTTGAAGGTCTGACTATAATGATGTCAGAGCTGTGGTTGCTAAAGGGGTTAATTTTTTTTTAGTCTCTAAACAAGATAGTAGAGTATGAAATGTACATCAGTTGTGAAGCACATGATTGTTGATAGATTGCAACTAAGCCATATAGGAAGTCTTCTCTTTGATTTCAGATGATTTTATTGTAATATAGTAGATTGGGTATTGAACAGAGAGGTTTGCAGATTGTCCACAATGGCCAAAGTACTCTTCCAAAAAGAAAAAAAAGAAAAGAAAAAAAATAGAAGGAATGCTTTCTCCCTGATATAACTGATTTATAGAGAAAAGAATGAATCCATTGTAAATATTCTCTCATCTTAGTAATGCATAAGTGATCTGTCATAACTCATACTAAACCGTGAAATATGCCATATGAAGAGGGATTAAGAGGCTGAGCAACTCATATTTCAGCCAAATCCAGAATTAGTTTTTCTTAGGTCTAATAATTCCTTGTTAATAAAGATTTAAATGCAGCGCTGTCTAATTTATTTCACTGGTGCTTGTCTGTTGCCACGGAAGTTGAGTGTCAATAATATCCTGTAGATGGCACTAGGGTATCATGTCGCTTGTGCTGGCTAGGTGCCAATCCTGCAGTAGCAAGGAGATGGGGGAGGGAAGGATCAAGCTGGTACTATAGCCAAAGATACCTTTTATTTAATGATAGTTGCTCTGGAGCAACTGTTTAAGTTCATTTGCTTGCTCTTTTGTGACTAGCTCTCACCACACCAACTTCCTAGGATTTCGTAGTCTAAGTTCTATCTTTGTTGGTATTGAGTCCACCTATGGTGATGACCCATCTGAATTTGTTAAAAATAAGGAACATATAGATTTCAGAAAATCAAGTAAAGCAAAATAAGTTTGCAGGATAGTATTGACAGTTGTTGAATAGTGTTTGAAAACTCAAGAGTTTTTCTTTTCCTTTCTTCTTTTTATGGAGGGTTGGGTGGGGGGAGAAAGTCTTATTGAAACTCTATCTCCTTCTCATCATCTAGTGTTTATTGCTCTGGAGTGACTTTAAGACTTTGTGGTAATAAGATATTTATAAAAATAATTTTGACAATGAATCACATAGGTACTCCCAGAACATTACAACTAAAGTCTCCATTTCTTAAAGTAAAAGATTAAATATCTTGGATATTTCAAAAGCACATATATTTAGAGTTTGAATGCACAGAATGAAAGGAATTAAAATAAGTCAGTCTAGAAGTTGTAGAGGAGAATATGATGTTATTAGACGTAAGTTGAAGTTGGAACAATTTATTTTCATGTTAACTTCATCAGCTTTAAAAGAGGTTGATTTAAAAATTTTGAAAATTTCCAAGCTTAGTAAAGGTTTGTAAAAGTTGGTAAATAGTTAATCATGGTAAGAAAAGTAATGTATGAAACTAAATGGATTTAAATATGAAGTTTCTATTTAATGAAAAGAAAGAAAATGGCCTTTTTTATTAGTTACTCTTAATGTGAATGTCACTCACAATGTACTGATTATATTTTATGATTTGCATAATATCTTGAAAAAACTAACATGATTTAAAACTTTTCTTATAAAATCTGAAATTTATTTTCCAAAGAAACATACTGATATTCTTCCACATTATCTTTCTTTTCAAATAAGTGTGGTGGGTATTAGTAGCGATGTGCAGACCCACTTTTTCTGACTTCTCCTCAAAAGTTGAAACTATATATAGTACAGTGACATAAATGTTAAGAGCATTTCAGCAAAGTATGCAAAAGATCATTTGTTGAGGCTTAGTCAGTCATAAGAACATTTGTTTGTATGATGTAATCTTTGAACTAGGATGCTGAGTAATTCTCTAACTGGAACTAAAGTGCATTTTAGACATTCCTTGAGACCATGTGTCACTGTGCACTTCTTGTAGGCATTTCGATGTTCAAATGTAGCTATAATTCACTATTATGATAAAGAGCTATTGAAATGGCTTTGCTTATACCTTTTAGAAGTTTTCATGCTGAGACAGAAAAATTGCGATGTTGGAGAAAAAGAATATTGGAAGTAAAAAGAGGTGATGGTGGTAACAATATGTACAGTTTTAGTATAAAAGAGGCATATTTTCTATGAATACAACCCTTTTATTGTTTTTTCACTGAAATATATGATTGTTATCTGAAGATGTTCTAGTTAAGCTAAAAAGTCAAAATTCTGTTTTTAGCTCCTTCAACTAGTGGCTTTTCTACAAAATGTGCTCCTGACACTGCACAATTTTGAAAAAATAGACTTTATTACAACAACAGCTTTCAAAGGAATTTGTAAACTAACATATAATCTGTGAAGATTTTTAGTTGAGTGGGCACGGATTGCTGTTTACAAGGACATCTTTTCACTTTATGGTGCTAGTTGATGTGTGGGTAAAATGCAAGATTCTTGAGTGGAGGGTTACCAAAGTTAAATATCATTAATTTGTACTGTCTATACAATGAAAACGTGATGTCTGACTTTTACCCCATGAGTTTGCTCGTAGTGCATTGATTCTTATTTTGTCTGACTTTCTTCCCCCTGCTGTTTTCCTTGTGTGCCCCTGCAAAGAACGTTATGAAGCAATTGTAAACCACGTTCCTCATCCACTCTATTTTACTAAGCTTTCATTTTCCTTGAATATAACAAGTCTGTCACTGAATTTTCCACAAATTATTTTTTATGAATTTTTGGAAGTATCCTTAACATTCACAGATTGAGTGAAATTTCCTTTTTTTTAAAGCAACATCATGTCTTGGTATTTATTCATAAATAAGTAAATTTCACTGTTATATAGTTAAGAGTATGGCAACATAACCAGTACCAGTAAGGCTTTAAATGATAAGCTCATCGGGGTATTTTCTCTAAAAGGAAAAAATATTCTTAATGGATGTGATTTTTAAAATATGATAATAAGTTCTCAAATTTTAAGGTGTCTCAGAATCACCCAGAGGGTTTCTTAAGATATGGGTTGTTGGGCCCCACTCCCAGAGGTTCTCATCTGCTACCACTGGAGTCGAGCCTGAAAATTCACATTGCTGACAAGATCCTAAGTGATGCTGATGCTGCTAGTCCAGGGTCCACACTTTGAGAACCACTGCCTCGGCATCTCAGAACAATAAATGTCAGCTCCTTTCCCTTTCAGATTATCATTTCCAGAGGACCTGTTTTTGCACAGTCCAACTCACAGCTCACTTATTGACAGCCGTTTTATTGTAGCTGGAGGCTTTATAGTAAGCTGTTTATTGCTGTTTCCCAACCCAGTTGACAACATTTAGGGAATTAATTTTCTTGGCCCCAGTGTGCTTTTTGTGGGGGTGTAAATGAAAATGTTAAAGAAAAAAAAAGTGACCTATTTACATTTGACAACTTCTTCCAGTAGTAAAACAATCTGTGATAGTTGTACTAGACTTTGGTTCTGGGTAAACAGTCATGTTTAATTTTTAAATGCAATGCTCATTTTAGAGCTTAAACATCCTTTAACTTTTCACAGTCTAGAGTATTTGCTCATATATACATTTGTGTGTATATTGAAGAAATTATACGTTGAAAATGTGATCCATGCTGTACTCCAGTGTATACATGTACTTTTACAATATAAAGGGAATTGCTTATATTCCCAATCATTTATAGACACTATATTACATTTATGATTACTTTTCATTTTTGAGTAATCCCACTACAACCACTACTGAAATGCTATGTCGTGTAAAATGAGCAAGACAGTTATAGAATTGCTATTTAGAATAGTGAGAAAGAAAAATACAGTTGAAAGTGAAGGGAGAAAATATTAACTAATGTGAGGCTGACAGAAACTTTAAGATATTTTAAACTACTAGGTTTTGGAGTATAAGGTGACAGTTAAACACAGGTGGCATGTGGAGAAAAATTGCTCCCCAAAATGCAAATTATATTTAAAATGTTATCAGTTGTGATTTTTATTTCTATCTCTTCCCTTTGGCTAAGTGTTCTATGATTGTGAAGTCAGTTTATGGTCATGAAGTCAATTTATGAGGTAGAAGATACCCAGACTCCTTAGATACTGTTTCAAGAATTTGAAATGAGAATGGGCCATCCATTCAAATTGGTTCTCTTTCCTCTTGGGTTTGTAGGACAAATATTTGATGACTTTTTTTCAGGTTGATACACCTAAGCTATAAAATTCAAGGTACATCTTAGCATTCATTGCTAATAACCTTAAGGAGGTAAAAATAAAAAGTTGCTGCTGTATTAAACATAGACATGTCTGCTGATTCCTGAACATTTGTTAACATAGAGAAAATAATTTCTGTAGTTAAAATATTCTATTATCTTATTTTCTAAATTTTGCTGCAATTAATTCTATATATAGAAACACTGTAAACTGATGTTCCCTTACTTTCAGATGAGTCATCCTCATAGTGTCACACAATAGGCTTTGGCATCATTAAAGTTACCTTGCAAATATTGTACTTGTAATAATGTTATATTCTTATAGTGTATGCATAGTCTTATTAGTTAAATATTTCAAGCTATAATTTATCTTCTCATAATAGCACAAATTAAATTATGATATGTGATATAGTAAAATAGAGAGAATTTGGA